CATATACTTCAAAGAATACTATATAATATACCAAAGTAAATAGTCCCTAAAAACAACAAAAATCTGTTTAAATTTTAAAATTCAAAAATGATACCTCTAAAAGCACAACAAAGTCAATGAATTAGTAGTATCCATAATAACTTGCCGAGGTAATATTTAATAGTTGTTTTAATTAATGTCTAAGTGCTTAGAAGCTCTGCCAAGTCTGGTAAAGTGTGAGAAGTCTTATGAGAAAAAAATAATAATCATTATAAAAGTTAACACATAGTGATTAATATATGCCAGGCATTGTTCTAAGCTTTCCACATATACTAACGAACATAATCCTTACGACAACTCTAGAGGTGGTTGTTTTTGTTTTGTTTTTATTAACTCCTGGCAATCTGTAATATTCCCATTTTTTTAGATGAGGAAATTGAGACACAAAATGTTTAAATAGTATAACCAAATTCACACAGATCATAAAGCTTAGGCAATCTGGCTCCATAACATTCTCTTAATAAAAAAGCTATACTGCCTAATACAGGATTTCAACATGGCATCTGATTCCGTAGTTTTCCACCATAATTGAAAAAGAAAAAACTGTCCCAGGTGTCCAGTTTCCTTCATGTAACTATACAGTAAAAGAAGGTAAGACTCTCCTAAATCTGAACTTATGACTGGCAGGTGGTAAAGTAATGTCCCCACTTCAACTCTAAGTTTACATTTGATATCTTAAAGATAGTTCAGAAATATCAATGTGTAATGTATGAAGGTGTTTACAAAGGCCATTAAGACTTCTAAACCAGTAAAAATGGTATTAGCCTTAAGCAACTTTTTTTCTTAGGTCTTTTGGCCATGGGCCTTTCGTTCAGTATCTCTACGGAAGAACTTTAATAAACTGAACATTATTACTGACAACATCATTATTATTGACAACAATTTATACTAGTGTAATATATACAAAATTATAATTTTATGTCAAGAGAAAGTTTCCCATGTTGGCAACAGTATAGAAGGGACCTAAAAAAAGTAATTATTTATTTAAAAAGTTGTGTATTTACTCTTACATGTTTAAACTTTAGTCACCTTCAAAGTACTCTCTGTTTGATGAATACAACTATCAAGATGCTTTTTCCACTGCTCAAAACAGTTTCTGAACTTATCAATTTTGATGCCTTTTAGTGCTTCTGTTATTTTTTTGTTTCATCTCTTCCACACAGGCAAAACATTTTTCTTTGAGGCCTTTTTTCATCTGGGGAAACAAACAAAGTCTCTCGGGGCAAGATCGGGTAAATAGGGAGGATGGGGAACAAGAATTATGCTGTTTTTGGCCAAAAACTGCTGAACATTAAGCATCATGTGGACAGGTGCACTCGTAAATCACCCATCATGAAATGGGAAAATGTATTGATAGGATCTCCAAAAAAAAATTTACTGAAGCTGAATGGTAGTTGGTACACTAATGTGGATGGATTCCTAGACCACTTACCTAGTAGGAGAATCCTGTATTACAAGGGGTCTACCCACCAAAAACTAATTCCGGGTTTTTCTGGGTTCCCCCTTGTAAGTCCAGATAACTTCCAAGTGGCTGACATATCACACCTACCCTCATGACAGGTTCACTGGAACTTTGATAAATATGCTCATTTCTCAGTATAATGCCCTCTTTCCCTGATAAACATACAGAAGGAGAGATGAAGAGAGTATATCCAAAAGAAAGGGAGTGTGGCAGGGGATCCTGTTCAGAAAGCATTCCCAGGGGTCCTTCTGCCCAGGGCTTAGAACTTCAGGCAAATGAATGGCCAGTACTTGGGCTGCTTTCTGCCACAGTGCAGGTCAAAGTGCAGCTGCACTGCAGCCTCCATGGCCCACATCTTGGCAGTGCTGTTCCATTTCATCTTGGCGTGGTGCAGCTTGTTGGGGCTCTTGGACAGGGGTTCCACTGACCAATAGATGTTGTAGTACGGGTAGCGATGGATATTTACATAGTCACACCGGTACTTCTTGTTTAGCTGCTGAGACTGACAAGGCTCTTCTCCTCTGTGCCTGTTGATCTCTACAAAGTGCTGGCAGGACTCTTCTGTGATTTCCATATTGCTCAGGTCACATTCTGCTTCCCCATCTGATTCAGTTTCATCTCCCCCTCTTCTGACAAAGTTTGATCTTCTCTTCCAGATGTCTGGATCCTATTGACATGATGGAGTACTCAGACCATCTGTGTAATGTGAGTTACTTCAGTGGGAGGCCTGGGACCCCACATAATAGTCAAAGAAGGACTAAAGATATCCACCTTCCTTACCATAAACACTTCAGGAGTAAAGTACCATAAGGAACTGAAATAGGATTCCATGGCCTTCTTGAAGGTGTTCTGGTGGCTTTGCATGCAAGCCGCTGTTTGATGATAATGTTGCCAGTATCTTGCAAGTAGAGGAGCATACTTTACCAAGACTTGGTAGTTTTTGATAGTCACGTCTTTGCTGCCATGTTTGATTGTGAAAGTCCAAATGGGCACCAACACTCATGGGCATGCAGACTTTCTGATCTTGGGTAGCAGGCAAGCAGGAGTCTATTTTTCAGTGGAAAGTGGAGACTGCAGGGCCTGTGGACACTATCTTAAAACGAATGTTTTTCTCTATGCTTTAGTTGCAAGGAAACTCATATGGTTCCTCTGTACCAACCTTATAGAATATATTTTTATATCTGAATCTAACCGCAGCTTTTCTTTTGATCAAATTTATGCATCTATTCATTTGTATCCTGTTGTATAGGTATTTCTCAACCATTGTGAACAAGTTTGAGGATTTATAAATAAATATATGCAAGCCTAAAGTCCACCAAAAAACTGACACAAAAGAGCAAATATATGCCTACTAATCAGGATCCTTCAATATATCTTACGAGTACACTCATGTAAGACAAGAACATATCCATCTAATGGCTAAAAACTAAGGTTTGAACAGATTTCTATGACAAAATATGTTAATATATTACTTGATACAGGTTTACAATAAGTAAACAATACTGGTACATTTAAATTTTACCAGTGTACTGACTTAGCAATTCTTTGTTTTTTTTTTGAGTTGGAGTCTCATTCTGTTGCCCAGGCTGGAGTGCAGTGGCATGCTCATGGCCATCACATCCTCGACCGGCTGGGCTCAGGCAATCCTTCCGCCTAAGCCTTCCAAGTAGCTAGAACTACAGCAATTCTTAAAATATGATCCAGAGACCCCCCAGAGGCCCAAAACCCTTTCATAAGGTTTGTAAAATTAAAACTATTTTCACAAGACATTTACCTTTCTCACTCTCATTCTCTCATGAGTATACAGGGTAGTTTTCAAGAGACTACATACATGATAATGTAATTACACTAATAGCTAACAGGATGTATCCTTGATATTCCTGTGTTCTAAAAAATTTGTTTTAATAATATCTAATATAGTAAATATTGGTAAATATAAATAAAATGCTAAAACAAAAGCTCTTTGGGAACTCAACAAACCTAAAGAGTTTTAAAGGATTTTGAGACCTAAATGGTTGAGAATTGATGGCTTAACTATAAATTAATTAACCCGCTGTTTTCAAATCAAGCAAATTTTCTAGTTTTTTTCAAGAACAGAAAGAAAATTTTAAATTGGCAATTTTAGAAAAAAGATCAAGTATATATAAGACATTATTCTTTGTGGAAAACATAATATATTGAATTAAATAATGAAGAACTTTAAGAACAAAGAAGTGATAGCAAAATGAATATAATCTTAATAAGTAAAGCCTCTGAAAATATGAACAGTTGAGTAATTGGTGATAAGAAATGTACAATTAAACAACTGGCAACAGGAATGTAAAACATTTCAATTCAAATACTGCTTTTTAAAAATTAAGGGGAAGGCCTGACTCTCTGCAGCAGGTCAATCCAAAACCTCTTATAATCCTTTCTTCTGCAAAGAATCAACAATGAGAGCTGCAAATACAAGGGGGGAGCCAAAAAAACCTGGAATTTATTTATAAAAAATTATGTATTTATTCCTACATGTTTAAATCTCAGTTGCCTTCAAAGTACTCTCTGTTTTATGGAATATACCTATTGAGACACTTTTTCCACTGCTCAAAACAGTTTTTGAAATTGTCAATTTTGATGCCTTTTAGTGCTTCTGCCAATTTTTATTTCACCTCTTCCACATCAGCAAAAACTGTTTCTCTTTGAAAACTTTTTCACCTGGGTAAACAACAAAAAAAAGTTGCTAGGGATTGCTAGGGTGAGATCCAGTGAATAGGAAGGGGGGCACAGGGGTCATGCTGTTTTGGTTCAAAAACTGTCGAACACTCAGCACGCTGTAGGCAGGTGCCTTGTCATGGTGGAAGAACCAGTCATCTGTTTGCCACAATTAAGGACGTTTCTTCTGCAAAATTGTGAGGCAACCTTCTCAAAATTTACAGATAAAAACTTTGAGCCGGGCTCGGTGGCTTAGCCTGTAATCCCGCGCTTTGGGAGGCTGAGGTGAGTGGCCTGCCTGAGCCCGCGGTATCAAAACCCACCTGGACAACTTGGCGAGACCTCATCTCCATAATAAGTCAAAAAAATCAGCCGGGTGTGGTAGCGCGTGCCTGTAATTCCGGCTACTCGGAAGGCTGAGGTGGAAGGATCGCCGGAGCCCAGCAGGTGGAGGCTGCGATGGCCGGGAGCGGCACTGCACTCCAGTCTGGGTGACAGAGTGAGACTCCAACTCAAAAAAAAAAAAAAAAAAAAACTTTGGTTGACCATTTGATCCACAGGAACAAATTCTGAGTGTACTACAAGAGGCCTGCCTTCTAAAAGATAATTCGTGTTTTTCTGGGTCCCTCCCTCATATGAAGGAATTTAATTATTTTTAGTGGAAGAAAAGTAAAAACCCTAACTAAAGAAAGCTTATAAGTTAATCAAGTAGTTGTTCAAAGAAAGAAAAGGCAATTTTTAAAACTATTTCCTTAACATACTTAATAGTCTTATTTTTCAAAAGAAAATTTTAGAAAAAGAGATGTACCTGAAAATGGCTGGGTTGCAGACATGCTTTGGATCCAGTGCTTCTCCTTGTATAAATTCATAGCATAGTCCATTATTGAAGGTACAGTACAGTTGTGGTGCACAGCCATGAGCCTGCAAAACTCGAAAACTCTTTACTTCTTCATCTCGATCAACTAGCAACTCAGTCTTATTGCCATAAATTCTCACCAGGACTACATCCTCCATGGTATCACCCACATAACAGCCAATAAGTTTATTTGTGATTCCATCTGTGAAGAGCTGTCAAAAAAAGAAAAATGGGGGAAAAAAGCAATTAGCTATTTTTAGGAAACAGAACAGAAAATCACTTGAAATTAGTTATATACTAATTGAAAGAAAGCCAACTTTTTAACATAAAAGAGCCATCTTTTGATATAATTATGTCTAACATCTATAATTTTAATTCTAGATTTAAACAAACAGGAATATCAATGTTAATTTCTGTAACATCATGTTTTCCTTGATCCAAAAGTATTAATTATTCAGTCTGCAATATTTCTATTTAACTTTTTTTGATACCTGTTGTATTTCAGTCTGCCTTGCAATCATTGTGTGTGTACATGCCCACATGTGAGAGAGAGAATATTCAGGTAACTTTGAATATTCTCTCTAGTATGTCCAACATACTAGAAAGTCTCTGAGGATGAGAGCACTTCCAGCTTCCTAGAATGGCTCACTACTTATAAAAGTATACAAATATCCAAACATAATCTACCATAATTTCAATTATGGTAAATCTCCAACTTACAAAAACTTCAATTTTATGTATTAACTTTAGAAATTACTTAATATAGCATGCATCAAATATCACGTTAAGCACTCAAGAAATAATATTTTAAACTTTAATAGTTTAAAATGCCATGGCTAGCCGGGCTCGGTGGCTTAGCCTGTAATCCCATGCTTTGGGAGGCTGAGGTGAGTGAATTGCCTGAGCCCGCGGGTTCAAGACCCGCCTGGGCAACTTGGCGAGACCTCATCTCTATAATAAATAAAAAAATCAGCTGGGCATGGTAGAGCATGACTGTAATTCCGGCTACTCGGATGGCTGAGGCGGAAGGATCGCCGGAGTCCAGCGGGTTGAGGCTGCGGTGGCCGGGAGCAGTCTGGGCGACAGAGTGAGACTCCAACTCAAAAAAATAAAAAAATAAAATGCCATGGCTATTTTTAAAATGTACCCTTAATAAGAGGAGGATATAGAAGCAGAGATTTCTATGGTATTTTCTAAATGAGACTTTGAGACTTTTCAAGAGCTTTAAGTCAAGTACTTCAAGTCCTTTTTTTAGATCTGAGCATAGAAGGCATATTTAAAAAGCAAACAAGTAATTAGCAATATAAGTTCTTGAAATCTATTTAAAAGTTGTAATTTTCATTTTCCTCTGTATTAACCTGACACTAGAACAACTCTTCTATTTACCCAATTATATTTCAGAATTCTTGGAGGCTCTCAAGTGGAATAAAGGGAGAAAAGAAAAGAGTGAAAGTAAAAGTTAAGGACATTTTTCCAAGATAACTGGGCAAGAACGAGAAAAAAGGATAGAAGATACATTTTAAAAGTGTGTATATGCATTTTACTAATGGCTAAGAGGGTAAACATTTTTATTTCAATTAGATTGTTGTGATAATAAATGAAATATGAAAAAGCTTTAGATCTTCAGATAAAGATTTGAAAGTATTTATTAAAATTAACATACATCTAACAAGTGTTTATATAATGGTTTTTATTTTTAGATATGCAAAGACATACAAATATTGCTTTCTACCTAGATTTCAAAAAAACTCTATGAAAAGAAGGCATTGCCAAGAAGTATGTACATGTAAACTGAATGCCAACCACCAATTAAACTCTTTGTTGAAAAGCATGCTATTTCTTATAATTCACACATACTATTCTGTAATTTATTCAGATGTCATATGTAAATACAATATTTAAAATACTATAATAAAGATTAAGAAACTGTTTAACATTCTGAAATGCTTATAATGAATTATACTGTAGGCCTCCCAGATTTCAGAAATCATCACTCTGTTTTCTGTATGTTAACAGCAAATAATAGCTACTTGACACATAATAGTTACCAATATTAACGTTTTCATCTGTCTTACAAAAATTGCATTCTCTCATGCTTGCCTATAATAATAACTGGGAATGCTATACTGTATATTTAAGTATACATACAAAAACATACAAAAATCCTTGCCCTTGAAGGGCTAGAGACAAATAAGAAGATTACTAAATATATTACTGAACACTAAATATATTACCGAACTAACTAAATAGTTACAAAGATGAAACAGGGCCATAAAGTCCCTAACACTAACTTTCTGTATTACACAACAGCCACATACTTGGCAACGAAATGATAGTCAAACTAAATCTCTAGAATAAAAAAGATATATGAATAATGTAACCTCACTTCTACAAAAATATTTTACATATAAGTAAAGATAAAATGTCTACAAAGATATTCAATAAAATATTAGGTAGTTTAAATCTTGCTTATTTTCTTCTTTCTCCATAAGTTGTTTAAACTTTTTCTTTTGGCTTATGTATGCTTCCTAATTTGTTCTTTTCTGCAATGAACCTGGTTTTCTTGTGAAAAAAATTACTGAGAAGAATAAACATAACCCAGCAACTAGCACTGGTACTCACAGCTAGCCTTGAAGTCCTACTGAATATAAACAATTTTACAGAACATCAACATTCAACATCTTATGAGGCCACTGCATGATCATAATGTATCAATAAAAAAAAACTCTGTAATTATGTCTGAACGTAGTCAAAATTATGAACTTTGTCCAAACCACAAAGATTATCAAGCATCTCTCTATCTTGGCTAATGTGAGTGACTGATGCTTTTCTCCAGTCATAACTTTGACCCTGCTTCATTCTTGTAGCCTTCTATGTAAGATTAAGATACTCACACGTCATAGACTTGTCCCACTTCCTTTCCAACAGCACCCAATCCAGAGAAATATCCTGCTATCTTGAACCCAGACATATCTCAACCATTCTCCATGATGAAGTTCCCTTACTGCAGTCAGTGATAAACTCAACTTGCTCAACTACAGGTTGTGTTTCTACTGGTCTCTGGTTGGAGAATATGACTTCAGAATTTAAAGATATACGGATAATGCTTCTTACCCTTGCATGGTTCCCACTTCATATACAAACCACAAGTAATTCAATATGCTGAATCATCCAAAATATACTATTAAAATATACCAGACATATTTCAGATAGGTATACTATATTAAGTATATACTAGAAATAAAAAATTCCATCTCAGTAGAAGTGGAACAAAAAACAAACCTCACGGAGCTCCTTTTTTTTTAGCTCCTTTTAAATAGGGTTTTATCCTGTACTGTTTGTCAAGTACTTCTGACACAGTTCAGAGGATGAGCCACAAAGCCAAGTTGCTTGAATTTGAATCCCAGCTTTGCTATCTACAAACTGAGTAAATTAGGTAAGTCGCTTAACCTCTCTACATGTCTCTATCTCTTCATATATAAAATCAGTATACTAGAATCTACGTTTTGCATTGTCACGAAGATTAATGAGTTAATATACCTAAAAGCACTTAGAAGAGTGGCAAGCAATAAGCTGTTAAATGCAGCTAACTATACATTTAAGTTTTAACACAAAAAAGCAATATGATTTGTGATTAAATCATAAAACTAAGATAAAATCTATGTTAAAACAATATTTCAAAACAATATTTCTAATAAGTCTCTCTAAAAGTAGCTTAAATCCAGATAGTTAAATGTTAAATAACATCATTTCTGGACAAATTCTCTTTTCACACCTGAAAATAGTCAAAAGACTTCATCTAGTTAGTCAGAAATGCCATTCAACATTATTCTTCCATTCAACATTATTCTTTCAAGTGAGTTAGAGAGGAGATAGCTAGAGAAAGGCTAAGCAGACAGACAAGGCGGGTCCCCCAGTAACAATGTAGTGACCTTCCAGCAGGCCTCTAGGGCTGATATATTGGTGTTTGTAAACAAGCTCCCTAGGAGCCTGTCAAGCCAGAGCTTACTGCCAGGATAGAAAAACAACCAATCAACTTGCTGGCAAGTACGACCAATCAGATCACCATTATGCCCCTGCCTCCTGCCAGCTGGTCCTTAGTATTAACCAATCAGCACAGCTAGTGCCAACCAATCAGCTAACGGTTAGTGCTAGCCAATCAGTATGGTCTTAGATCACAGGTTTCAGCACCCAGACTGGCAATCCCTTTGGGTCCCCTCCCACTGTGGTAGCTTTTCTGTCCTCTCAGTAAATCCTGCTTTCTCACTTTCCAGCAGTCTGTATCCCTGAATCCTCCTGGGCAGGAGACAAGACCCTCGACCTGAAGAGTTGCAGAAGATCATTGGTGCAGAAGAGCTGTAGAGCCATGCACGCCAGAAACTGGCTTGCCAGTCAACCAAGCCAGCTGAACCAGGAGAGCTGTTAGCAGAAGGCAAGACTCCAAAGCTGAGACACTTCTGGGGGCTGCAACACTCTAGAGCTTGGCTTGCCAGCCCACCGGAGCCAACACTCCTGGGGCTAGGCTTGCCAGCCCATCAAGCTGACTCTTTCTGGGGCTTGGCTGGCCGTCACATTGAGCTGATACCCTCAAAGCCCAGGTTGCCCTGAAAAATCTGTATCATTAAGTACTACTCTACATATGTGTTTCATTTTGTATGACTAACTATATTCTGTTAAACTCTAATCCCTAAAATGTGTTAAACTCTAAGCTGGCAAAATGAGTTCCTAATCACCTCTAATCTTGAGTTTAAATATTAACAGTCCTTAAATACTAGGTAAGTTAATAATAGATTCTAAATTTGTTTTCTGCTTTACATCACAGGATTTTAAAAACAAAATATATATTAGTTAAAGACAGGATTTAAACTTACCCTTTAACAAATTCCAACAATCCAAAAATCTCTTTAAAAATGTGTTTAATTGCTGGCCTGGAGCAGCGGGTCACACCTGTAATTCCAGCACTTTGGGAAGTGAAGTTCTTAGAGAATTGCCTGCCTGAGCCCAGGAGTTTAAGACCAGCTTGGGCAACTCCACAAGACCTCGTCTCTACAATAAATCAAAAAATTAGCCAGACGTGATGGTGCATGCCTTATAATTCAGCTATTAGGAAGACTGAGGCGGAAAGATCACCTGAGCCCAGGAATCAAGGCTGCAGTAGCTGTGAACATTCTACAGCACTCCAGCCTGGGTGACACAGTGAGACTCCACTCAA